GAATAAGGGCTGTGGTGGTGCACGCCTTTGATAACAGCACTTGGGAGGCAGAGGCAAATAGATCTCTGAGTTCTAGGCCAGTCTGGTCTGCAGAGTGAGTTCCAAGACACCCAGGACTACACAGAGTAACCTTGTCTCAAAGGGAAGAGGAGGGGGGGAAGACATCTCAGTGGCTGGTGTGAAGTAGGCCTTTGGACATACACAGTCTGGAGTTTAACAGTCCAAGTGAGGGTAACTAATTTGAGACCTTCACCTTATGGATGGAGTTTAAAATCTGAAACTGGAGGATGACTGAGAAATCTGGTATTTACAGAAGAGAGATGTGAAAGGACAGACTGCAGATCTCAGGGGAGTGAGAAAAGGTCAATCAGGAAAGGAGGCAGAGAGGGAACAGCGAGGGGGGGCCATTGCTGTTCCACTCCCCATGGCCACACGTCATGGACAGCATGGAATGGGATGCAATGAGACTTGAGTCCTGGATGATCACATGGCCACTGGTGATCTCAACAAGAGAAGTTTCACTATCATGATGAGTTCAGAAATTGTCTGGGTTTTAGAAAACATAAGGGAAGAGGAATTTGAGACCAGAAATATCTACAATTCTTTCTTATCTACAATTGGCTACAAGAGAATTTTCTTTGTTTTAAGTGCTTATCATGTTTATTGATTGATTTCTTGTGTGTGTTTGTGCTTCCAGAGGTCAGAAGACAAATTAGAGGAGTTGGTCCTTGCTTTCCAACACCTGGGCTCGAGAGGTCACGCTGCCATCCTTGACAGGGAGGGTCTTTACCTGCGGAGTCGTCTCAGGCCCAGGAGAAATCACCTCTGAATTTTTGAGTAGCAACTGGGCAGGAAGTTGATCAGAAGACAGATGTCTTTTTTAAGCTGAAGGATGAAGCATGAACCTAATTAGTCTTATCAATAAAAACTATGAGTCAGATATTGGGGATAATAACCCGAAAGAGCAGAGGGGCAATCATCAGTGACTTCTTACCTCTCTGGATCCCCCACCAACAGAAAAAGGGCTGAGATCCTGTCTCCACTCTGCCTTATCACTTCCTGTCCCTGGCTCCCTAGTGCTGGGATTAAAGGTGTGAGCCACCATGGCCTAGCTTTTATAGTTAACTATCAGCTAACTCCGCCCTCTGTCTCCAGGCAAGTTTTATCAGAACACAAACAAAATATTACCCAAGAGAAGTATGCAGCATGCTTTTATGTTGGTGGGGAAGTCCCTAGGAAGATGGAGGACAGGAGGGTTGCTGTCACGTTCCTAACTAGGCAAGACAAGGAACGGGCACCAAAGGAAAGGGCTGGCTTTTCCTGGAAGCACTGGACAGTCGTACTGTGGAAGTGCAAGTGAAGCCCTTGGCAGGTTGCAGCAGAAAGAGATCAGGCTCACTTCTGTAGGACGTGGACCAACAAAATGAACTTGCCACTAAAGCTGGGCAGGGTAGCATCCGCTTACATCCAGCACTCAGGAATCAGGTAAGGATAGCCACAAGACTGTGGCCAACGTGAGCTACATAGTGAGTTCAAGGCCACCTGAGCAACATAGCCAGACCCTGTTTCAAAAATCAAACAACAGAAGGAAGACACGCCACCAGAGTACTTGGCCTGCATTCATATTCAATTTCTCAATTACAGGCAATTTCTCAACCATGTAATGAGCATCTCGTTCTTTTCCTTCTCAGACAGGATCTCAAACTCACTTGCAGATAAGGCTGCTGTTGAACTGCCAGCCCTCCTGCTTCTATCTCCCGAGCACTGAGATTAGAGGCATGCCCCAACACACCAACTTTCTTCCTGCTAGAGATCGAACACAGGACTTCATGAGCACTAGGCAAGCTCTTCACCCACTGAACTGTGTTATTTATTAAGCAGCGCAATGTTATTCATTAAGCACGTTGTTTACCGTGTGAGAAAAGCCACAAGGTACAACAAAGCCCACTGTAAGAGTTTATTAAGGGAAGGGAACAGGAGGGGTGTGCATAGGCCTATGGAATGACCGTGCAGGAAGAGAGGAGTAGGTGGAACCTGCTTTTATAGGTTCCTACACACACACACACACACACACACACACACACACACACACACACACTTTCGTATATGGGCTTACGTAGCTACCCCACCCATGCACATAGATTACGTGATCACGCTGCGTGCAGGTGACTAATTATCTTGCCTGGCTACTGGACAGCGCATGCACAGCCTAGTAGCTGGGGGAGTGGCTAGGAATTCTAACAAACTGCATCCCCAGAGATGGTAAAAGGAAATTCTCTTAGGTATGCACAACTCTTGAGCAATGTAATCTGAAAATTTGTTTGTTTGTTTGTTTCTACTGTTTTTAGTCGCTTAAATGTAGTTATTTAAAAAGCCATTCTCTTTAACTTAGACATTTGGGGAAATTTTTTCTGAGATAGTTTTAAAAGTTGCCTTGGTCACTTCTCAGCCATCTGTCTAAAAACAAGTATAAAAGTTGTTTTCAAAACAACGAAGTGTGGTTATAGCAGGGGTTCTCAACCTTCCTAACGCTGCAGCCCTTTCATACAGTTCCTCAAGTTGTGGGGACCCCCCCCCCCAAGCATAAAATCATTCTTGTTGCTACTTCATAACTGTAATTTTGCTTCTGTTGTGAATCATAATGTAGACATCTGTGTTTTCCAATGGTCTTAGGTGACCCCTGTGAAAGGGTCACTTGACCCACGAAGAGTCTCGACCCACGGGTTGAGACTCACTGAGCTAGAGAGATGGTTCAGCGCTTAAGATGGACTTGCTGCACAGGAGCCATGCTAATCTTCTCTGTATCTTTCTAATTTTAGAATATGTGCTGCCGAAGCGAGCTGCAAGCTGGGCGGTGAGTTCTCTGTGAGTTCGAGGCCAGCCTGGTCTCCAAAGCGAGTTCCAGGAAAGGCGCAAAGCTACACAGAGAAACCCTGTCTCGAAAAACCAAATAAATAAATAAATAAATAAATAAATAAATAAAAAATGACTTGCTGCTCTTGTGGAGGACCAGGCCTCAGTACACAACACCCACATGGTGGCTCACAAACATCCATAACTCCAGTTCTAGGGATAAAACATGTTCTTCCAGCCTCTGCAGGCACCACGTGTGTGGTGCCCATACATACATGCAGGTAAAATACTCACACACATAAAATTAATAAATCTAAAAGGGATCTTTAACGCAAGTGTGTGCCTGGCACTGGGGTGAATGCCTGCTGTGTCATCTTCTCTGGAGTACGAGGCAGGAGGATCATTCCAGTCCAAAAGTCCTAGGCCAGCCTGGGCAGCGTAGTGAGATACCTCAGCCACTATCTCATCAAAGCAAAGCAGATGTGGGACTGGAGATACAACTTAGTGCTAGTGTGCTTGCCTAGCAGGTGTGAGCCCTGGGCTCTAAGCTCAGTTACCACGAGAAAAACAAAAAGGTGTAGGGAGCCTTGCACACATAGAACCACGGGGACATGCTGCCTCACGCACCGCAATCATGCGCCCCAAGCCGGTCATTTTTTCTTATCTTGATCCGAATTCACACTAACTGAGATTTTTCTTCCTTCTCCTTGCAGTTCCCACTTTACACCAGGTGAGGGCAGTAAGAAGACCCCTATTTCCCAAGTGAAAAGACGCAGTCAGTCCTGCTTTTAAACTGGGGGCCACGTAAACTTCTCTTTTAGGACGCCGGCCGGATTCCTCAGGTTGCTCAGGTTGGACGGATGAGTTTAGGAGCTAGCAAAGGAATCAACTGGCCCTGGGAGCTTCAGATAACAGGAGTCTTGTCCCAAAGGTCAAGGCCAAAGGGCAGGCTAATGAATCAATCTCTGCAACCCGAAAACAGGAAGTAGCCATCCGCCTTCTTGCTTTTCTCTCCTGAACTATGGCACTGTCACCAAATTACATAATGAAAGCACTTAAGAAATCATAACATGTTTATGAAGAAGCAATCTAGACGTCACTCTCTATACTAAAGAAACCAGACACGGCGAGATGATGTGTAGTGGAAGGATTTCAAAGAAATTTTAGGAAAAGAGTGTTTAAGATATGTAAGAAATTTTACGTATTATGTTGAACTAGAGGTTAGTGAGATAACACAGCAGTTAAGGGAGTATGCGGAGCAAGTCTGACCATTGGAGTTCGATCCCCAGATGGTGGGAGGTGAGAATCAACTTCCCCAGATTGTTCTCTGATCTCCACAAACAAGGATGTAAACACACACACACACACACACACACACACACACACACACACACACACACACACACACACAAATCTAACAAGAATGATAAAGTATACTAGACTGCCTGGATCGTACTTCTGGGAGCTATTTAATTCCACACACTCTTAAAAATGAACGGCCAAGCCTTCTAATATTTTGGGAGGAATTCACACTAAGTTAAATGTCTCCTTTGAACAGCACAGAAGATTTTAATTTTTATTGGCTCGCCGTGGGAGGAATAGTCACTTAGATTGCTTGCTCATAGATCAAAACTACGAAAAGTGTGGCTCAGATCCCGAAATGCCTCGGTCTCCGGGAGACCTCGCCCCAGTTACTAGAGCCTTCATGTTTCGGTGCCGCAGGAAGGATCCCAGCAGATTAGAACAAAACCACAGTGGCCCTGAGTGTGGACTCCCTGATCGCCTCGGTCGTCTCCCCTAACCCCAGCACCCTCCCCCTGCAGGAGGGCGTAGGAGGTGGGAGGTGGCGCTGTGTCCAGTCCTAGGCGGGTCACTCCACCCGCCGCCAGGAGGCGGAGCCTTGAGATGAGTTAAGTCAGGCCCAGGCCCAGGCCCAGGAGCGTCGTCTCCTGGCTTCTACCATGGACCGACAGCGAGCTGGCATCCGGCTGCAGGTCGTTCTGAGACACCTCAGCGGACCCTCGGCCCCAGCGATTGTATCCTTTGGGCTGCGGAGGGGCTCAGGCTGGAAGGAGCATCTCTACCCTGGCTGTGGCTCCAAGGGCACAAGAGAGCCGCTCCGCTGCCGGCTCTTCCTTGTTTCCACTCCCCGGGGGAGCGGGGAGGAGGCTGCATCCCCATGTTCGGGGATCCCCCTACCTCCCCGGAGCACCCTTGATCGGGCGGCGGGCGTGTGTGGCTCTGCCTGGCCTGGGTGGCTGGTGCGCGTCCCCGCACCGTTCCGAGACTGCTTAGCACCGCGGGTTCTTGCTTTGTGTAAAGCGAAAGAAGTAAAGCAAGAGGTGGAGACGTCGTCACAAAAAGAACTTTGCCGTATTCAGCTGCCTTGGCATTTTTCTGCCCTGTGTTTTCCTACATTTCTTAGAAATGCCAAGGACAGTTACACTGTAAACAGAGGTGCGGAGCTGCTTGCCTGTGACCAAGGCAGGCAGAGGCAGGGATCCCCAGGGGTCAGGAGGGGGCGCCAGTCGTCAAAAAGAGAAGGAGCGGGATGCAGGACTCTGCCTCGCGCCGGTGGAAGCCCTTCTCTACCAGCCCCCTTCTCACAGAGCTGTGTGCTCCTGCAGGGTCCGGGTACTGCAGGTCTCCCCAGCTCTGCACTCGTTCCCGGAAAGGGACTTGGTCCCTTTGGCTTGCCCAGTCCCTTGGTCTTCAAAAGTGAGTGTCTGAGGGAATGTGTGAGGAAGGCAGAGATGCAGAAAGAGCCCAGGAGTTCACTCGATAAAGTACTGGCTCATCCAGCATTAATAACTGAGGTGGGAGTTTCGTCCCCAAAACGTACTTTAAAAAATCCCAGGCCTGGTGGTAAACGCTTGTGATCTGGGAGGTGCTGACCTGAGTGAGGATCTTGGGGCTTGGTGGCCAGCCAGACTAGCTGATGGCTAACAGTGAGAGACAATGTCTCAAAAGCAAAACAAAGCAAAAAACACTAAACCAAGGCTTTCAAGCAGGCGCGCGCGCACACACACACACACACATACACACACACACACACACACACACACACACACACACACACACTGAACTACACCCCGCAGCGGGTAGGAGGAGGTATCAAACTGTTGGCTGCTCATTCCAGGATTCTCGCCCTGGAAATTTCTAAAATTTACTGCCTGGGATTTTCCCACAGGCAACCAGATTACACCAGTGCTGATTTCTGTCCTTCGGTACCTGGCATCTCTGAGGCATCTCTGAGGCTGGTCGTGACGGCTGTTTATTTGCTCTTCCCTATGGCTCTGACTGCTGGGTGGCTGGGTGTTTACAAGCAGCAGTGTGCCAGGCCTACCGCAAATTTAAACTTTCGTCTGCAGGTTGAGAGAGACAGGCAGTAATCTCAGATGGTGGCGATGTAACCTCATTTTACACTGAGAAACTGATGGGGAGAGATCAGACGTCCCGAGCAAGGGCATTGACTGAAAGCCCTTGTTGGGTCTGCATAATGTGTGGGGTGGAGGACCACAGTCCTTTTCTTCTTGGCAATTGGATGTATGCTAAATTTTGAGAAATTCGGATATACCGGTGCTAGATATATTCGGACTGAAATTGGTGCAGTCTCTTGCTACTCTTTTGGGTTTTTTGGTTGTTTGTTTTGAGACAGGATCTTACTATGTAGCTCTGGCTGGCTGGAATTTGCTATATAGGCTATGTTGTCCTAGAACTCACAGAGATCCACCTGCGTCTGCCTCTCAAGTGCTGGGATTAAAGGTATGATCCACCAAGCTTAGCTAGGTACCTCACTTTTAACTTGAGTCAGCTTTCAATTTAAATAGCCAGATGCGGCTAGCAGCTGGATTTGGATTTTGGACAGTGCTGGCCATAGTGAATATATTACTTACGTAGACTTCTGGGAATTGTGGCAGTTTCTCCCCAGCCTTAATTTGCTTCTAAGAAATGAAGATTGGGGAAAAGTGAATGTTTTTTGTTTACATAATTGGTATTTAACTGTAGTCACAGCTTTTTGCATCCACTTTTCACTTAGCTTTTTATCATACATTTCAGCGTCATTAAACAGTTCTCTGAGAACAACAACCAAGTTGTAGAAACAGTGGAGAGGGGCCAAGGGACCGGGCTGGAGAGATGGCTCAGTGGTTAAGAGCACTGACTGCTCTTCCAGAGAACCCGAGTTCAATTCCAGCACCCACAATGGCAGCTCACAGCTGTCTGTAAGTTCGGTTCTAGGGGCACCTGACACCCTCACACAGTCATACACATAGGTGAAACACCAATGCACATAAAATAAAAATAATTTTTAAAAAGAAATAATAAACCAGTTGGCAACTGCCTTTAATCCTGGCAGAGGCAGGCGGTCTCCGTGAGTTCAAGGTCAAGGTCAGCCTAGTTTATCTAGCAAGTTCCAGTCAGCCAGGGCTACATAGTGAGATCCTGTCTTAAAAAAAAAAAAAAAAAAAAAAAAAAAAAAAAAAAAAAAAAAAAAAAAACAAACAAACAAACAAACAAAAAGAAGAACAATGAACCAGGTATGGTGACTTATGTCTATAATTTCACCACTTAGGCAGTGGATGGAGGCAGGAGGATCAGAAGTTAAGATCATACTTGGTTACACATCAAATTCAAGGCCAGCACCTGTTACATAATACTCTATCTCAAAAAAGTCATTAAGCCAAAAAAAAAAAAAAAATCAAGATAACAATCCTGGCTTGGTAATGTATACCTATAATCCCAGTATTCAGGAGGTTAAGGCAGGAGGAGTCTGAGGCCAGCTGACTATAAATCAACTTCCAGGCCCAATCTTAGCTACTTAGTGAGATCCTGCTTCAATAAATGAATGAAAATAAATGACAAACATGTTTATGTGCAGTGACATTGTGGGGTTGGTTGGTTGGTTGGTTGGTTGGTTGGTTGATGTGAGACAGGGTCTCACTATGTACCCCCAACTGGCCTCAAACTCACTATGTAGACCAAGATGGCCTCAAACTCATAAAAACGCACCTGCCTCTGCCTCCCAAGTGCTGGGATTAAAATTGTGTGCCCTCCCACCTGGGTAGAAGTGACATTCTGAGAGCAGCCATTTAAGCTAAAGAAGCAGAAAAAGCCGGGCGGTGGTGGTGCACGCCTTTAATCCCAGCACTCGGGAGGCAGAGCCAGGGGGATTGCTGTGAGTTCCAGGAAAGGCGCAAAAACTATGCAGAGAAACCCTGTCTCGAAAAACAAAAACAACAACAACAACAAAAATGGCTGTCACTAATCTGTAGTTACTGCATGAAATAAGATCTTACAAATGTCTAGCCTTTCTGATATTTAAAAATATACTTGACTGTTTAGCGCATACTTTTTGTGCCCTAATGACTGGCAAACTCTTAACAGTTTAGACCAAAGTCACAACAGGCAAGTACGTAAGCCCACACATCTCTCCTAACTTTCTACAGTGTGACCTCTGGGGTTGTTTGCTCAGTAGTTCGTGAAAGGAAATCCCGGGCAGGGTTCCAGCTGAAGCTACAGGTAGAGACGGGGGTAATGGACCGTTCTCTTCAGAGTGATAGCGATAGTGACTGAGCTGGTCGGACTTTGTAAACAGTAGCTCTTTCTCTCTTCAGGCCCCACTTGAGGCGACCTAAGTCCCAGCAGTGTGGACTGTGCAGGGTCATGTGAACCTCCTTTCCCCAGAAACAAGGCGGGAGGCGGGTGTTAGGCACAGAGTTTGGCTCCTTTGTTTTCCTTAGCTCTTACCTAGGTGGCTCACCCCATATCAGGGCCAGTGTCCTCTGCCAGTCCCTATCCTCAACAATTCCAGTAAGTAGACCTCCTTTTAATCTATAACTATACTGTGTACATGTTCTGGTTTTATGCCAACTTGACACAAGATAGTCATCTAAGAATCTCAATTGAGTATTGCCTTCATAAGTTGGGCCGTAAGCAAGCCTGTAGGGTATTTCTTAACTAGTGATTGATGGGCGAGGGCCCAGTCCATTGTGGGCAGTGCCACCTCTGCACTGATGGTCCTGGTTTCTATAAGAAAGCAGGCTGAGTGAGCCATGATGAGCAAGCCGGTAAGCGGACCCCTCCGTGGCCTCTGCTCCTGCCTCCAAGTTCCTGCCTGCCCTGTTTGAGTTTCTGCCCTGAGTTCCTTCCATAATGAACAGTGATGTGGAAGTGTAAGCCAAATAAAGCCTTTTCTCCCCAAGTTGCTTTTGGTCATGCTGTTTTAGTTCAGCAAGAGTAACGTTAACTAGGACAATATGTGGAAGTCTTTCTAGTGGAAGCTGGCATAGAGTGTCCTCTCTCCACCCGGTAACATGCAGCACCCTGCTGCATTAGAACTCACTCACTCTAGAAACACCTCGCCTCCAGAAAGCATTCTAAATGGTACAGCTTCGGGGATCTTTGGAGAGTCTAACTTAGGTTTTCTTTGCATAATCTAAAATCCAAAAGGAAGAAAAAAAAAAAGAAAATACATAATCTAACCCCTGAAAAATCCAAGCATTGTATCATTGTATTGGCTAGCATTCTGAGTGTGTGTGTGTGTGTGTGTGTGTGTGTGTGTGTGTGTGTGTGTGTGACTTATTTATTTCTGTGAAGTAAGGTCTCATCAGGTAGGTCTTGAGCCTCCTGCCTCAGCCTCCTGAGCAGCTGAGACATGGCATGTATATTGCCTTGTTTGAAAGGGGCCAGGTTTTGAAAGGGAAAAGCCCAGCCTTCATAAATAT